AAAAAGCACAGATTTTTAAAATCTAAGTCTCCGTAAGGCCTCTCCCACTCCCACATTCCTTTGCACCTCCTGATTTGTATCTCTGTATCTTAGAAAGTCTTTCCAGCTGTTAGAACACGGATTCCTGAAATAAGACCCGCACAGGAGTCGAGACAGACATTTCTCGTCACGAGACGCCATCAAGAATTTCTCCTCGGCCTCTTTTTTTGCTCCTCATATCATAGACACCCTCTTCTTGATGTAAACATGATACGGGTCGCTCTGCTGGTCCACCTCCTTGCGGGATCGGGTGTACCCGAGGATCAAACTGCCCACGGTCACGGCAAACAAGACCATCACAAACAGGATGTACATGTAGGCGTAGGTCTCTTTGGCCTCCTCCGAGTCACCTCTCGCGTCCGGAGGGCAAAAGTCCTTGCGGTGAAGCGTGTGGTTGAAGGCCTTCAGCATTGAGTCCAACTTCTGGAGCCAGGTCTCCGTCTGGTTTCCCATCGTCGCCATTCTCACGGACCAAAATTCAGGAGATGAAGTGGATGCTGGGGAGTGAAAAAAAGGGAAGCGGTTTCAGATCAAACAAGCTTTACGGGAAGACTTACTCCCATCAGCTCTGTGAGACAGGAGATAGGAGTGGAGAGTTCAAGTCCCCGCCACGGCTCCAGAGAGGAGAGCCGGCCTGTGTAGCCCAAGGCAGCTACACATTTCCAAGATCTGCCTTTCCTCTATCCCGGTGCCCTCCCGACGTGAAGATCTACTGCTTCCAGTCTCACCAAGTCAACACTCATCCACTCCACACTCAATCAGCTTCATTGTTTTTTAAAAAAATGTGTGACAATACAAATTGTTCATTGAGCAGTTTGACCTTCTAATTCTCTGGTTCATGCACACAATCCATCTTTCACTGGCAGAATTATCCAGCAGGGTAGGTACAAGGATAAAAATCCCTCCCATGCCATGTCCAAAAGAGACGTATAAAATCATGCTCGGGATGGATCAGTCGTCTTTGGAAAAGTCTCCCTTCAGAGATCCGCCTGGCACCCTCGCTGGGTGTTTTTAAGAGCCAGCTTGAGACCTGGCTCTTTAATCAGGCTTTCCCTCCTGTCATCACTTGATTATATTTATCTTTTCCCCATCTTGAACGATATTACTATCGTTGCTCTCTATTTTATTATATCACGTTTATGCCATTTTTTTATTGTTAGCCGCCCAGAGTAGACTTGGGTCTAAATGGTCGGGGTATAAATTTAATGAATGAATGAATGAATTAAATCAAGTGGAAAGAAGGAAGCTCTTTTCCCTCTCATGCAAGACCAGAACCAGGGGACCTCCACTCCAATGGAGGGTTGGGAGAGGGAGAACAGACCAAAGAAAATCTTTCTTGACCCAGTGTGTGGTGAGTCTGTGGAACTCCTTGCCACAGGATGTGGGGATGGCCTCTGGCCTAGATGCCTTTAAAAGGGGATGGGACAAATTCCTGGAGGAAACGTCCATCGCAGGTGACAAGCCCTGATGGGGAGCTACAATCTCCAGGCTTAAGAAGGAAGGGACCTCCAAAGGCCAGATGCAGGGGAAGGGGGGGATCAGGAGACAAGGATCTCATGTTCTCGTGAGCTCCCAGAGGCACCTGGTGGGGGCTACTGGGAGATACAAGAAGCTGGACTAGAGGGGCCCTTGGCCTGATCCAGCACAGGGCTCTTCTGATGTTCTGAAAGCCCAGGACGACCTCCAAGGCTCTCCATCTCTCGTCCCTCTTTTTCCCTGCATTGCCTTAAAGCCTCCACATGCTACTATTCTCGGTTACATGACTGAGAAAGTCGGGATCATCTGGTGCGCACTGATCGAGGCCACCCCCACTGGGATCACAGAAACCAGAGTCTACATTATGCTGATAGAGATCAAATGAAGGGTGAATCTCAGCAAATCCTTGTAGTTTTCCACTCCAGACCTGACCTCTGAGTGATCTCCTGCAAACATTATAATTAAGGTAATTATCAGGATTGTGCTGGTTAGGGCAAGCTAAGCAGGAACATTCAAGCCCGCTGCTTGCTTCAACACATTTTAATCCATTGCATTACAGTGCAATCCTATAGGGAGCTACTTGGGAGTAAGCCTCATTGAGTTCCATGGGAGTTAACCTCAAGGAAGCGGACAGACTTTACATCCGGTGTGCATTATGCTCATAAACGGAGCGCCTGAAAAATATCTGGCCTCTGCTTGACCTCATTTGATTGGCCAATTAAGCAGATTTATTTTGACCTTTCAAGGGTTCATTCATATTACACTCGGATGCAAAAATTAGTTCTAGACTTCATTTACCACAGGCCATAAAAATTAGCTATACCTCATTCACCACAGAGCTGTTACTCCTTCTTCGATCTAAGCTACTGTCCTTTGTAGATCTGAGGTAAAATTTCCTACACCTTCAGAAGTGTTGCAGACATCAGCTTTTTGAGCATATTTTTCTTTACTGAGAGGCTTAAAAAAAAACAACCAACAATTCTATTAAAATTTCCTACACCTTCAGAAGTGTTGCAGACATCAACTTTTTGAGCATATTTTTCTTTATTGAGAGGCTTTAAAAAAAACAACCAACAATTCTTTCTATCTATCTATCTATCTATCTATCTATCTATCTATCTATCTATCTATCTATCTATATCTATCTATCTATCTATCTATCTATCTATCAGATAATTAAAAATCAATCAATCAATCAGTCAATCAATCAATCAATCAATCTATCTATCTATCTATCTATCTATCTATCTATCTATCTATCTATCTATCTATCTATCTATCTATCTATCTATCTATCTATCCTCAGAACGTATGGTCAGTAATACCTGCGTCTCAGTAAAGGTCACACTGGGAGTAAGCCCCACTGGAGCCAATGGGATTTACTTTCGTCTGTCTGTCTGTCTGTCTATCTATCCTCAGAACGGATGGTCAGTAATACCTGCATCTTAGTAAAGGTCACATTGGGAGTAAGCCCCAGTGGAGCCAATGGGATTTACTTTTGAGTAGACAGGAAGTACACCCAAGAAATCGGAAGGCAGCTGAGATTTGGAAGGGCAGCTAAGCAGGGACCGGAAAAGATCCTTATGAACGGGAAATGTGTCATAAGAGACCATCATCCAGACGAGGGTATTCCTAGCTGCTTTATACGGATGTGAAAGGTGGACAGTGAAGGACGAGGAGAGAGAGAGAGGAGAAAACGGTTTCATTTGAAATGTGGTGTTGGAGGAGAGCTTTATGGATGTCACGGAACATCAAAAAGTGGATTCTAAATCAAGTCAAACTTGAAGTTTATCTGGAAGCAAAAATGGAGGCTATTCTGCTTTGTGCACTTCCTGAGAAAATAAGAGGCAAACATTGCCGGGGAAAGCAGAAGGCAGTAGGAGAAGAGGAAGAACTAACATGAGATGGATTGAATCAGAAAAGGAGCCACGGCCTTGAGTCTACAAAACCTGAGTCAATCTATAAAGACGGGATCTCTTGACGCCTTTATCAACCCACGGGGTGCTTTGAGTCGGAAGCAAGCTGATGGCAAATAACAACAACGAGAAGCCATTGTTTCATTAACAGGCCCTCCAAATTAAAGTGGATGCCTAGAGGGAAAATGCAGAAGCCTCTCTCAGTTGGACGGTTGCTGCTGTTTGTCAAAAGAGACTGTCCAGCGCGATATTATCACTTCATCTGATCTGGCCAAAGGCAACAGAGAGGGCATCCAGACTGGCATCTAAATATGGTATATGAATTGCTAATGGCACAGTCTGGATCAGGGGGAAAAGACCTTGTCTGCAAGTGTTTCTACTTAGATTGAGCGACTCTTCCCCTTTAAGAGCTGTCCCACACCTTTCTGGCCCAAAGGTAAGGCATGTATTCTTTTTGGCATGCTCAGTGTTGAGCCAGTTTGGCCAGGAGAAAGCAGCCACAGCTTCCGACTGCCATCAGGGCTGCAGATTCACAGGGGGTGAGGGAGAAAGAAGGGGGAGAAGAAGGGAAGAGAATCAGCGAGCAGGGAAGGAGAAAACGGAATGCCACCGACAGAGGGAGAGAGCAGTGAGGTAAAAAAAATAATTTAACTTCCTCTGACCCTCTGCAGAGGACCAGGAGAAGCACTTAATGGAATTGTTTTTTGTTTAGATGGAAGGAGCACACCACGGCACTTTGCTCTTCTGCCCCTCACCAACCTCAACAGATCGCTTGTAGCCCAATCCACCACCACCCCACAGGTTTGCACAGTTCTTAGTGGGTTTTAATGCATAATAAACCGGCGTTAAGATCGCATGACCTGCACAATGAAGACCAGACATTTCGTCTCTTGAAGAATGACACAGAACAGAAAAGGTAACCAGTACTCCCATTTGCTAAGGAAAGCAAACTCCGTGGCAGAACTAATTCTGTTCTGGCGCTGTGCCTCAGCTTACTTCATGGTTTTCGAGGGCTTTGCAAACACAATCGAATGAAATTTCATTGCTCTGAGATAAGTCTGACAAACAATAGTACCTGAGATCATGGGAACTGCAGGCTCCTTTCGGAAAGCACGGTTCGCTCTGAGAAGGCTGCACCCGAGCCTCCCTCTCACATTCCTAGTTTCCTTCCCAGAGAGAAACAAGGGCTTCTCTGTGCAGGAATCCCCAATTGTTGGTCTAAGGCAGAGGGATGACGATTTTCTCCCTTTGAATCCTGCCTCCACTTCTGCCATCAGCTCAAGAAACTCCACTGCATGCTCCACCACCAGCTGTGGTTGGTGGAAATAGAAGGGGCGGGGCTTTTAGGAGCACACAGACTGTGGAACTCCTAGCCTCATGAGATCTGGCTTCCCAGATCTCCCATCATTTTTGCCACGAACGTAAGAATGTTTGTTGTTTGTTTGTTTCAATAAACATTAACTTTGCCTCCTCTTTTAAATCTTCTAGGCCAGCATTCCTCACTCTGGCTCCCTCCAGACGCATAAGAACTATGGGGATACGCATCTAGCATGTGTATACCCAAAAACCCTATTAGGAGACACCGACCCAAGACGTTATTAGGTCACCGCTTTGAGCGGGGGGCTATAGTCAGGCGTGATGATGGGTGGTGGATTTTGGAGTTGTGCATAGGGGGGACCGCCTAAGGCTGTGTTCTAACTTTCTTGCAATACTGCATAACGTGGAAGGCAGAAAACCACGCAGGGCGCTCATGTTTCCAGCCAAACTGGACTCCACATTTTAGCCGATATATTTTCTTTCCTGGTCTTACTTGGTTGCTACGTGTGCCCTGGCTTCTGCTTTGTATGAATGTCACCATTATTCAGAGTTGTGGGAGTCGACCCTGAGAGTGTCGAATCCACGTGATGGAGTGAGCGCCTGTCGCTTGTCCCAGCTCCCGCCAACCTAGTGGTTCGAAAGCATGCAAATGCGAGTAGATAAATAGGTACCATCTCGGTGGGAAGGTAAACAGCGTTCCGTGTCTAAATCACACTGGCCTTGTGACCACGGAAAGATTGTCTTCGGACAAAACGCTGGCTCTATGGCTTGAAGAGCGGGATGAGCGCCGCCCCCTAGAGTCGGACACAACTGGACAAAAATTGTCAAGGGGAACCTTTACCTTTACCTTTTTTTTACGTGTGCACTGGCTTCTGCTTTGTATGAATGTCACCATTATTCAGAGTTGTGGGACTCGACCCTGTCACTCAGACCCAGCCAATCCTTCAGTGGCCAAACTGAGAACCAGGCTTGCCCCCTCCTTCTGACATGCTTACCTGAGCAGGCTGGCCATCCCGTCTTCTTCAGAACCAAGAACCAGTTCTTCATTTTTTTTTGTGGGTACAAGGAAAAAGCACTGTAGCTCATGCCACACCTCTTATTCTGGGGACATTATTAACCATGTTCAAGGGAGACATTCAGAAATACAAAGAGATTCATGGGGTATTTTCAAACAACAGGTTTGAACAACACTAATTGGCTAGTCTAGCACTGATTGGCTAGCCCAGCACTGATTGGCTAGCCCAGCACTGATTGGCTAGCCTAATATGGCTAATGCTAGGTATGGGAGAAAATATAGTCCACCAATGACTGCAAGCATATAGGTTCCCCACTGTGAGGGACAGAAAGTGGGTGAGGAACCTCAACTGTGCACCAGTGTCTCTATGATGGACATGGCTCTTTGCAAGAATGAGAAGCGTCTGCCCCAAGGGGCTTACAATCTAGAATCTGTCACATCAGAGGAAGGGAAGGGAAACAGAGGCTGTGTAGACCAGGGAGGAATAGGTTGTGATACATCCTTGGGCATATTTGGGATGGGGGACAGGCAATTGTGTCAAATCCTTCATGGGGAAAGTGGGTTTTGAGATGGGAGAAAGGGCAATCCTTTGAGGAAGCGGGAAATAATGGGACGCTGCAGCTAGAGAGACCCTTATTTTGTCTTGGGGGGTCTCTATGAGCAAGCAGATGTGGGGGAACAGGGAGTCAACCAACCGTTGATTGGCTAGGCCAACACTGATTGGCTATCCTGGTAACTTATGAAGCTCGTATAGGTCTTTGAAAGAAAGGAAAAGGGGCTTGCACTGAATTTGGGAGAAAACAAGAAAGCAAAACAGAGAGTACAAAGAGTGGATTAGCCTGGTTATAAAGATGAGAGAAGTACACAGTTTGACCAGTGACCGTTGGGGCTGGAAGATTCTGAGGCTTGTAGTCTTTAAAAAAAGGAACTTTTCCAAACTCTGGCTTGGACCTTGCTCTAAAATTGCTCCCATACATGTTTGGGGGCTCCATGGAGAATCCTAGGATATGGTTCTCAGATCAAACAAATTAGGAAGCTTCAGTTCAGCCCTTTTCACACTTCTAGAGCCTCGGAGAAGCTTCCGTTTCAGAGGCCCTTTTCACTTCTACACTCTCTTATCTCGACTGTTTACCTAAAGGAATTAGCTGCATATTTCAAGGACTGCTTGCACTGGTTTCCTGATTTGTGCAAACAGCCTCCTCTGGTTTCACGATACCTGTAATGGGAATGCTATACACAGAGAGACAGGCATTTTCTTTTCCCTCTTATTCTTTCCACCATGCTCCTGTAAAAACCACAAAGGGGCCAGATCCCTTGCAAAAGTACCCTCCCTCCCTCCCTCCCTCTGCCAACCCCAAAGAGGGTGGCCAGGAAAAGCCATAGGGTTGCTGGGTTAACCATTCTCGTATTAGAGCAGGTTCAGCCAACCTGGAGGTCTCCAGATGTTTTGGCGTGCAAAATGCCAGGGCTTCTTGGTGAGTTGGGATTATAACATTCCCTACCATGTCCCTTCAGGGTCACCTCCCGAGCCACACAATGACTAGCAGGAAAACTGACACTCCCTGGCAAAAATACACTGTTGGGGACTATCCACCCCCACCCCCCATGTAAAGTCAAGTTAGGCTGGGTGGCTTGGTCTTCCGCAGGCAATTAAGGACGATGAGTGATACAAAAGTCCTGCTCCAGATGTTAGAATGGGTTCCCTGATAGGGATCAACCCAGCCGCCTGCATTTTTTGCACTCTCCTTTGGCCACAGCGATGGGCACTGTCGCACTAAATCCCTGCACATCAACATGTGTCCAACATCACTCTAAATTGAGATTTATGGGAGTTGTACTCGAAAACATTTTGAGAGCATCACATTGCCTCCCTGTGCGTTACAGATACAGGCAGCTCAGATAACTATCTCTGGAGTTTGGGGAAAAATTGGGGGGAACCCACTCCATCCCCCAGAATTTTCCAGCTAGCACTGTCATAGGCAATCAATGGCAGGCTAGCTAATCAGTGCTGGGATAGCCAATTAGTGTTGGGCTGATCTACTGCCTGACATCCCTCTCTCTTAACAACCTCCAACTAAGGAAAGTTCATCACCTTCTGAGGTATTCCGTTTCACTGTCAAACAGCTCATACAGTCAGGATTTTTTCCGTAATGTTTAGTCACTACCTCTTAAGTCGGATGTAGTGGTTCAAGCCCTGCCCTCTGAGGCATCAGAAAAAAAAGCCGTTTGCTCCATTTCAGGGAACGGAAACCAATCCCTAGGAGGAGGAGAAGGGCGAAAGAACTGGGCCTGTTTAGCCTTCAAAAAGGAAGACTAAGGGGAGATAGGAGACCACGCTTCAGAGACGTGAAAATTAGTCACACAGAATCTGTTCTTGATTATCCCAGAGTGCAGGACACATAGCAATAGCCTCAAGCTGCAGGAAGCCAGATTTCGATGGAATATCAGGAAAAACTTCCTAACTGTTACAGCAGTACGGCAATGGGACCCGTGACCTCAGAGGGAGGTGGTGAGCGCTCCAACGCTGGAGGTATTCAGGAGAAAATAGGACCATCCTCTGTCAGATTTGGTTTGACTGGGATTCCTGCCTTGAGCAGGGGGTTGGACTGGATGGCCTTAGCGGCCCCTTACGACTCCATGGTTGTAGGATTTCCTACAGGCCAGCCTTCTAAGTAAGGCACATGCTGGATCGAAACCATTATATCTTTAGGCCTACCCATATAAATGTAATGGGATGAGATGGTTGGACAGTGTCATCGAAGCAACCAGCATGAATTTGACCCAACTCTGAGAGGCCGTGGAAGACAGGAGGGCCTGGCGTGCTCTGGTCCATGGGGTCACGAAGAGTCGGACATGACTAAACGACTAAACAACAACAACATATAAATCTTACAGATCATAATTTTTTGTCAGGGCCAATCACAACTGAGTCTTGCTGGTTCTGATTTAAAAGGGAAAGTAACCATCTCTGTATCAAGCCTTAGACTTAGATCTCTGTGCCATTTTTGGCCGAAGGCTGAACTTCTAACTAAATCTAGGCTGTTTGTCTGATCATAGAGCTAACTCAGGAGACAGCAAGAAGCCCAGCAGCAGTCACAAGAGTGGAATGGCATCATCCTACTGACTGCTCATATTAAATCCTGCATTCATGGGGTTCAGTTTTAAAAAATAAGATTAAAAAATGCAGTGTGATGAAAAGGGAGTAAAGGGAAATGGAAAGTACCAATACCTTATAAGGAAGACATTCAACTGAGGTAAGGCAGGAACAACTGCCTGTTGAAATTCTACACAGCCACTGAGCTGATGACAATGGAAAAGGAGATTCGGTTTTGCCCTCTCTAAGTGGAGCTCAGCTTTTTCCTATGCCCTCCAGTTACAAAGATGGGGGTCTTCCGATGGGGTAAATAGAAGGGGAAGATATGGAGGCAGTGACAGATTTTACTTTCTTGGGCTCCATGATCACTGCAGATGGTGACAGCAGCCATGAAATTAAAAGACGCCTGCTTCTTGGGAGGAAAGTGATGACAAACCTAGACAGCATCTTAAAAAGCAGAGACATCATCTTGCCGACGAATAGTCCGCATAATCAAAGCTATGGTTTTTCCAGTAGAGATGTATGGAAGTGAG